GTTGAGGGTTTAGGCTTGAGGGTTGAGGGTTTGGGGTTCAGGGTTTAGGGTTGAGGGTTTAGGGTTGAGGGTTGAGGGTTTAGGGTTCTTCTGCTGCAGTTGCCACCTGGCTCAATTAATCAAGAAAGAACCGAGAGCTTCCAAGTGTTTATAGTTTATGTGGCCAGAAATGAGACCCTAGACTCCAAAATCCCCAACCTTTTTGGAGGGGTATGAAGATGTACCCGAAACCCTAAACCTTAATCCTAAACCCTAACCCACCCCAACCTCTCTGAAGGGAATATGAAGATGTTGCCCGCAGGCGAAGACTCTGCAGACGAAGGTTGTTGCGCTCGAGAACCGCGTGAATGCAGCAGCGGTTTTGTCAAAGGCCTTTGCCATGGGGTTGAGGATGTAGGCTTCGCAGGGGTAGAGAGTGAACCCTAAACCCCTAAACCCTAAGCCCTAAACCATAAACCCTAAACCCTAAACCCCTAAGTCCTAAACCCTCAACCCTAAACCCTAAAGCCAGTGTAGGGGTGTGTAGAGTTGAAGGGGTGTAGGGATTCTATGGAGCTCTGCAGGGTTTTCCACTTGAAAACAGACGGCGTAACTCCCCCAAAAGGTGGGCTCCGTAGGGTCCAGGTAAACACTGTGCCAAGTTCAGGTCTTGAGCCTTAGTGGGTGCACTGAGAGGTTCCCCAACTACACCTTATGTCATGTCTGGCAGCTGTCCAACTTGCTGTCAAGAAGCTTTAGGGTTTAGGGTTTATTACTTCAGGGAAATTAGAGTGGAATTTTTGGAGGGATGTATAAGGGGAGGAGTAGCGGAACCCAAGACATATGTGGGGTTTGCCGCGTATGTACTCAGGTTCGGGGTTGCGCCACTTGTCGCAGAGCACAAGGACCCTCCCCTAAACAGACATGAAATCCAGGGCGGGCCCCATGGGAGAGGGTACTTGCTGTAACCCCCAGTTGAGTAGTATGTTATTTGGGGATATTATGGTACCCAATATAGAGTAAGATTATATCCTCCTTTTGCGGTATAGTATTCTATGTAAGGCATGTAATCTTACTAGGTTCAACCACCAAAAAATACTCAGGTAGCTTTCTAAGTATAGTCAGCCTACTTATAAGCCACCTTCTAACTACCCATACCCGAAACCCTAAGCCCTTAACCCCTAGACCCTCAACCCTCAACCTCATGAAGCTCCCAGCCGAGTTTCAAGCTTCAGGCTGAGTGAGTATATCAGTGGTACAGGCATCTCAGCAGAAAAATTCTATATACCTTACGAGGATGCCTGGTCGTTCTAGGATTTAGGGTTGAGGGGTTTAGGGTTTAGGGTTGAGGGTTTACCGTAGGTACACAAAACAATGAGCAACCTCTGCCCAAGGTGGTTGCAAATCAGGCGGACCATAGGCCAGGATTACCTGGACCCCCAAAAATTTGTAAAATAATGGACTTTATGGGAGTTATTCTGGGCCCAGGGCCATTACTCTACATACTTTGGGGGTTTAGGTAGTGGTCGCTGGCCTTCCAGGAGTTGTTTTCACCTGTTTGCCATCTCCGCCTCAGCTACTCAGTTGGGCGATCCGCTCTGGCACAGCTACTCCTGCCACCCAGGAAGCCCAAGACCCCTTAATTAGGCAATACCTAAACCCCCCAAAATTATGTAAGATTGGACCTAAACCCAGAATAACAGCCATCAAGGCCATTAGTATTTTTAACACACTTTTGGGGTCCAGGTATACTTAAACCATATCAGAGATCCTAGTATCCTTTAGGGTATCTTCGCTAGTTAAGGGATATTGCTGGATACTTGTACCCTAAATCCTAAACCCTGAACCCTAATGGTGTTGCTTACTATTTGTATTCTTCGGGGTCTGAAGCAGACGGACGGGACGGAGGTACGTCGTGTTCACAAGTCCTTCTGCGAGCTCCACACTTATCCTACCATTTTCTTTTGCGTTGTTCCCAGAATTATGCGCCCTGCTTAGTTACAGGCTATATTACGGCACCTAATATTTAGGGGTACCAAAGCGGGACCCTGAGTTTTGGAACCACCCATTTGAGCCCGCAACCTATTCGCCTAGGACTCTGTAAACCATTCAGAAAAAACCCAGTGCTGGAGCGTGTCCTGAAAGGCCCTAACAATCAGAATAGGGCTCTGGTGTACATTAACAGTATTAAGAACATTAAGAATGACAAGAACAATGATAAATCCTAGAACCCTATAGTCCTTATATTTTCCATTTTCCTGCACCGGCCAGGAATCTGAGTACCAATCATCAGTCCCCAACCCTCAACCCTAAAACCTTGACCCCCAAGACTGAAGTTCCTAAACCCTAGCTAGACCTCATCTGAACTCGAAACTTTTGACTCTAACCCCCCAAACCCTAGACCCTAAACTCTGAGCTTTAAATCCGAGACCCTAAACTTTCCTAAGCCCTAACATGCCCAATACGTTCATTGCCCCGCAGCTCCCTTAAGCACGGCTAAGCTGCAGGCCGCACGGAGCAAAATTCAGCTCCAGGAGCGAAAAGCGGCACTTCTGCGTGAGGCAGGTTTAGGGTTCAAGGTTTTAGGGCTCGTGCTTTAGGAATGTCACGGCGTAGTGTTTGTCGGGGCCGATGGTTGAAGTTGGTGGTTTTTGGGGGTCGAAGATTCGGGGGTTAGGGGCATTGGTTCCAAAGAGTTAGGCACCATATTCATTAAAGGGGGTATAACGGGAAAGGAAATGGAAACTAACACATTATTCAGGGTTTGAGGCTTTTGTTCCGAGTATATAATGGGAAACCAAAATTTATGGAAAATAAAATGGGGGTTGTTCTAAAGGTCCTCATAAAGAAGGGACCATTGGGAATACACATTCTTAAAAAGGGATCCTAACCAAACAGGGAACCTATATTATGGCCATTTTGGACACAGGTATTTTGAACAACTACCATAAGGATCATGAAGCTGCAGCCGAGTTTATATACAGGCTGTAGGAATTCAAGAGAAGTCGTGGGTAGCTTCGTCTAGGGCTGAGGGTTGTCTTTAAGATTTAGGATATATGAGGGTGTTCTGTCTTCAGGGTTCAGGGACCCCTAAACCCTAAACCGCTGGGTGTTCTGCGTTTAGAGTTGAGGGATTTAGGCGATTTAGGGTTTAGGCATCCATCCAGGGGCCTTCAAATTGTCACTGACGCCCTGAAAACCCTTTTAAGTAAACCGCAAATGCCTAAATCCTAAATCCCAAGCCCCTAAACCTTAAACCCTAAGTCCCCAAATCCCTAACCCCTCAACCCCTAAACCCTAAACCCTAAATCCCTAAATCCCTAAATCCCTAAACCCTAAATCCGCATGGCTTTGGGCTGCTTTGGGGTCTTTATGCGCTTGAGAAACAAGGGGTTATATAGGGGTTATATAGGTTTATACTGCATTATAGGGTTATACTATGCCAGAGGACCTAGGATGTATTTAGTCCAGGGATTTTGGGTTTAGGGTTTAGGGTTTAGGGTTAAGGGTTGAGGGTTTGTGGGTTGAGGGTTTCAGGTGTAGGACTTAGGGCTCAGAATTTAATTTAGGGTTTAGGGTTTAGGGCGTAGGGCTCCATTCTTTGTCACGAGCACCATGGTTCTGCGGTACGAGGGGCTGTGATCCTGTAAATTTAAGCCTTATGCGGCATGATTGGTCCCGAGACTGGTAGGAAGAACCTGTTTTATGACCAGGTGACATCATATAGTTTCCTACAGTGCATCAGTCCTGTGTCCCTGCGGTAGCTATCATATGAGCTATAGTCCAAACTCCTTACATAGGCGATTATATAGGCGAGTATCATCGGGGTTATTAAGGGGCATACTTTGAATCTAGGGCCTAAACCCTAATCCTATACCCTTAAACCCCTGCGTTGCTCATACATGGCACTAGTGGTTAATCAGTGTTCGTACATGTCTGCCAAGGAAGGCCCTTGGGTTTTGAATCAGCTTTCATCCTGCAAGTCGTTCGGATCCTAAACATAGGGTTTAGGGTTTAGGGTTTAGCCTTTGGGTACTGCTTCCACTCGCTATCGGTTGGATAATTGACATTTATCATATACTTTTATGGAGCCCTCAACATGACCCCTAGACTTTTCATGGGTGGGGGCAGGACCCAACCTAAACCCCGTATTCAGGGTTCAGGGCTGTAGAAACACCAGACCTCGAAATTCTGAAGTGTAAGCCCCAAACCCTACATGCCCTATGCCCTAAACCTTAAACCCCAAACCCTAAACCCTAAACCCCAAACCCTAAACCCGAAACCCTAACCCCAAAACCCTAATCATAAAACAAATCTACGACATCTTTGTGCCAGCAGGCGACGGCTATGTGAGCATCAGGGTCCAGGCCCGCCAGAAGGGACCATATGAGCCACAGTCTGAACTTTTAGGGTTTAGGGTTTAGGGTTTAGGGTTTAGGGTCTGAACTTTTTTGATCAGAGGGGTTTTATAGGGGATATATTGGGATAATGGAAAATAAAATGGAAACTACTCTAATGGGGTTATATAGGGTCTTATAGGGTTTATGTAGTAATAATGGAAGAGAAAATGGAGACTACTATAGTACTTAGGGTTTAGGGTTTAAGGTTAGGGTTTGAAGTCTAAACTCCTTCAAGGGAATTGTATATGCGAGTGTTACAGGGGTTGTTGAGGGGGATACTAGGCGTTAAGACTATAGCTCATATGAGTAGCATTCGCTTAGTTGGGGATATGATGCCATCTGGGTTTCGTGCTGGATGGGGGGGGGTAGGGTTTAGGGACTTTCCATGTTTGAGGGGTGGTGGTACTTGCGGAGGCATAGTCCCCAATAACTATAGCGCGACTATGTCCTCCTTTCGGGTACGGCATTGTTATAGGAAAGAAAATGGTCTTACTTGGCTTAACGGCCGCCGTAAAATGCTGTTCAAGTGTTTTTGGAATTTTCTTAGAGGCCTTTCGAGCTTTGTCAGGTTGGACAGGTTCAGGACTGAAACCCTAAACCCTAAACCCTAAATCCCTAAACCCTACGTGTAGTTTAGGGTTAAGGGTCATCCCAATATTACCCCAATATACCCCTATAATCCCTACATAACCCCAATATTCCTTGTAGTTTCCATTTTCTTTTCCATTATCCCAATATTACCCCAATATACCCTATAATCCCTATATAACCCCAATATTCCTTGTAGTTTCCATTTAGGGCCTGCTAGATGTTCTCAACTCTGACGGACAGCGCCCCGTGGATGCAATCCCTACCACTATGGGCTATTAGACCTTTGGGGTACTGGGAGGTCCATGGTACTTATAACCTACTTAGTAACTGTAGTTATAACCCAATTATAACTGTAGTTATAACCCAGTTATAACTGTAGTTATAACCCAATTATAACCCAATTAGGGGACTTAGGGGGCTTATAATTGGGTAATAACTACAATTATAATTGGGTTATAACTACCCATGGACCTCCAAGTACCTTATTAATCTACCCTTACTAGGGTGCTAATAGGGAACTGTAGGGTTTAATAGCCCATAGTGGTAGTGTGGATTTGCAGGGTCTTGCGTGGCCTTTGCGTACAATAGCACCATATTTCCTGAGGGTGTACTACACTGCTCCTACACGTTTTTAAGCCCATTGTACTGTTGGAGCATCGGTATTCGAGTAGACTAAGGTAATGCAGGATTTTTGATATAATCCGTATGTCCTACGGGAGCATTGATCCTCTCACTGCCAACAGCGCCGCAGAACCAACATCGACACCAGCAGGACTGCAACAGCGACGTGAAATTAATCACAACTACGCTCGCAACTGCGTATGGGCGCGGCATACATGTAAAGCGCCCACATGCGCGTTCTAAGCCCCAAACGTCAGGACTTTACGTCCGATCCCGTTTTGGTGCTTCTGTCGAAGAGCTTGAGTGATTAAATTCGGCTGTGGCAGGTCAATTCCCCAGCTCAAGAGCCAGTAAGTTGCATTTTTTGGTTCGACAACAGCAGGGAGGTTTTGAGTTGCAAAGGTCGGTACAAGGATGATACCAGGCCAGAAATTGAGGTGCAGCTGTCCATAGGTCCAGTGATTTGGGAATTTGTGATTGCTATCTTCCCTAAGGGTCCAAGGACCCAAATAATAGGGTTTTAGGGCCTAAATACTATAATGTTGATGGTCTTGGGGCCCTAAAACCCTACTATTTGGGTCCTTGGACCTTCAGGGCTTTATTAGTTTGTCAAAATGATGGGCTCCTTTGGGGTTATTATTGCAATGCAGCCGGCTACCCGGTTACCTAGAATCGGACCACTGATTTTACAACTCCCCGCACAATCCTTAAATCAAGGCATGCCCCATAGTTCGTCTATAATCCCTGTACGTGATTCCCAGGGTACCCCCGTTTTGTGAACCCTAAACCCTAAACCCCCTTCATTCTCAGGTTTAGGCTATGTCATCGGCCAAGGGAGTTTGTTCATCCCTAGCCAGAGAGGACGGGAAACCTTAAACTAAGGAATCCATGAGGTGTTACCATGAGGGATCTATGACGAGCAACTCCCCAAGACCTCCTTCCATTTCAAGATCGCTTATATGCAGCCGACCGGTTCAATCTCCCCTTAAATCCTTAAAACTCATGGACCCTAAACCCTAAACCCGTAAGCCTTAAAGCCTAAACCGTGAACCTTATACCTAAATCAATTCTCAGGGGATGGAAGAGCGTGATTTGCACTGATGATGGCTTCGTTGTACCCCAGAAGCAGATTCTATTGCATGGTTGGCATGAAACTATGTGCATCGGTCATAAGACAGGCTGCTGGTCCGTAGCCCCAGACATGTCCTACACCCAATCCCTAAAGGGTTTAGGGTTTAGGGTTTGGGGTTTAGGGTACCCCAAAGACCTAAACCCTAGCCCCACAACCATAACCCCTAAACCCTTAACCCTAAACCCTAAATCGTATTATCGGGGCCAGATTTTATTAATTGTTTATGGTGGGCCGAATCAGAATCAGAAGCACGCGGATGCTACTCCTGAAGATCTCAGGGTTTAGAAGTTTAGGGTTTAGGGTGTAGTTGTAGGGCTTAAGTCGTAGAAGTTTAGGGTCTAGGGCTCTGGGGAAGAAGATGTGAGTTATGACCTACCTATATAGCACCAGCGAAACTCAGATTCTGATAGCAGTTCATATGAAGAACTTGAGAAGCTTCACAGTATGAACGGTAGGCTCAGACGAGCGTGGTGATAACATCAACAGGGGGGTCCCGTATATGGGCGGTCCCGTATATTCAGGATCACAATTGTTGGTACTACCGCAAAGTAAGGATAATGGATTGTATGAATCGGGCTTGCCGTGATGGAAGGTTCCCGGCACTTTCCGACGGACGCGGCGTCAATCTCTTTCCAGGCGACAAGCGCATAGAATCCAATACGCCCCCTACTTTTAATGATTAAAGTGGCTGCCTACGCCCTACTTGGAGGCCCATGGAGCTTTTATAGCAAGTACATATGACTGGTCTTCTGACCATACTCATTTTTCAGGGACCTGTAGTACAGGTGGTGGGTGTGTCTTGGATTCTATGCGAAATTGAAGTACAGCATTGTGTTAAGCAGTAAGCCTCATGAACCCGTACAGCAACTTATAATCAAGTAGCTTCGAATACCCGTGGCCCCTTCAGTGCCTTCAACCCCTTGAATCCCAAAGCCCAAGAGTAAGATTGCCAGCGTGAAGAAGCCATTTAAATCCCCAACAACCTCTTTCTCTACCTCAACATCTCGTGTAGCTTACCCTAAACCCTAAACCCTAGACGCTAAACTGTAAACTCCTGGATCATCAAATTGGAAGCCTTCTGGACAGGTATGCTGGGTCCTGCACGTCTCAAAATGCGTGCCCTTGGGGGCCCTAAGGAAGGGGAATACGGTGAGAGTATAAGGCTTGGGTTTTAGGGCCTAGGGTTATTCTGAGAAATACACATATGAGTATATAGTCCTGTAGAACCATTCTACGCCCATTTGCAAAATTATTCATAACTCACAGCCCAGAGAGTATGTTCTCAAAGACTCTGGGTTCAGGGTGCCCTAAGCCATAAACCCTAAACCGTCAAGTCCGGCAGGAAATGACTGGGGCCTGCGACCACGCTTTGCTGACTTTGCCCACAGCCAGACTGCTAAACTGCTCCCAAACTGCTTATATGGGGGCTTCCAAACATTGCGAGTACCTTTTTGGGGGTCCCCATAATAAGGACTATAGTACTTTGGGCTCTATGTTGGGGTCCCCTGATTTAAGGAAAGTACCATATGGGTTTAGGGTGTATGGTAAAAATCTTGCGTGACCTTAACATACTATAACATCATAGTTCCCAAGGTATAAGGTATACTTAAGGTCCTGCAGGAATAATTAGTAGCCATTGTAGAATCAGGGTTTAGGAAAAATGTCCTTGGCATGGTCTCCTAATACGAGATATCGTTGAAACTCCTTAAAGGGTGTTACATAGAGTTGAGGGTTTAGGGTCTAAACTCCTTCAAGGGGGCTGTGTAGAGGACTACTATAAAGGGGTTACTAAGGGGGATACTAGGAGTTCATAATCCCCCTTAAGTAGATAGAATATGGCTTTGGGTATATTATAATAAAATCCTCATATACCCCATATTCTATCTACTTAAGGGGGACTACAACCCCCAAACCCTAAACCCTATATAACCCCAATATACTTTAGTAGTTTCCATTTTCTTTTCCATTATCCCCATATTATACTAGGAGTTTAGACTATAGCTCATATGGGCCCTTGGCTGTTTCCTGGGTCCTGACTATGCCTTGTACCCTAAACCCTAAACCCCTAAACTCCTAAACCCTAAACCCTAACCCCTAAACCCTAAACCCTAAACCCCTCTCAAAGTCACAGAGCTCTACCTAGAGCAACCATCAGGCACTCTGCTTTGCTTCCCTGAGCAAGAAAGGTCCTGCGTCGGTCGACTCCTGGCGAGCGTGTTTCGGGAATGATTTCACACTCCCTCTTTTCTATAAAAGAAACTGGTCAGATGGGCTCCGCCATCTATCAGGACCTTGGCCAATAGCCCTGATCAAAACGGATGTTCACGTGAAAACCGATCATCCCTTCAAGGTGCGACCCGACATCTTGGATGGCGCATAGGTCAAGGGGGATTCATTCTCGAAGTCAATGGCCTCGAGATACTGCTTAAAATCAGAGACCTTGCCTGAAGGTCCATTATGGCACATAACGAACTTCGTGAGGTAGTTGTAGGTTTCCTGGTTCACGTGTCCCTCATTGGCGAGCTCGCGGTAGGACAGCTGCTTCTTGGCCATCTT